GCCAGTGAAGCAACGTCCTCCACAACTAGACTGAAGAACAAAACGACAGCAACTTGTCTGTTCCCCTTCCCCCAATTCCCCACCGCTGTTCCCACCCCTCCAATTCCCCAATAAAAATCTTTAAAAAGAAAAGAAAAAAGAAAAGGGAAAAAGAATTTGGCTACTAGGGAAAAGATACAGGAAACGAGAGCATGTGAGGATTCCATTAAGTTCCAGGATAAAGCAGGGCAGGTTTGGAGTGTTAATGCAGGAAAGACTGGCAAGGAAAGATCAATTGAAACCATCTGCTTCTAAAAGAGAGCCAGGTGCCACCCTGACAGATGGGCACGAATGCTAGCCTGGCATGGGGCCAGCTGATGCTCGGCCTAATGGCAGAGAGCAGAGTCTCTCCTCAGCATGTGTGGCCACCACCCAAACCTGGTCAAGGCGGGGCCACAGGGGCCTGTAACTCCTGTCCTTCTGTTTTATGAGGTGGAATTCTGCACAGTGCTTCAGGCCGTATGTGGAGGTTACTGTAAGGAGACAGGCAGGAAGGAGGCTGCTGTGGGCTACCCATCTATGTGTTGTTGATAAAGGGGTATGCTTAAAAAAGCATTCTTGCTTCACGCTGTGTCAAAATTTGCCCATTGGAGCTTAGTCAGAAATTTCCCATGACCTTTGACCTAGGAACTGTTCCAAGAGGTGAGGCTAGGAAGTGAGTTGACATTAGCTTGGTGTTGCCAGTTGAAAACCTCTTCTCTCAGTCAAAATGGATGCATACATTGATGACATCTACTGTTTTTGTCTTGTCTTTCCTTTTCAAGAAAAATTATTCTAATCCATTCTCACCTGTGGTAGCCCACACAGATGGCCACAATTCTCACACCCCCTTTCATCTGTGCCCTTGGCTATATGACTTTGCAATGCCTTCCCACAGTGGCTGGGTTGATCTACCCCAGCTGTGGACACTGGCTCAGCCATGTGACTGGCTTTGGCCAACAAGCCATTCACAGGCATGACACAGAGGCTCGAAATGGCTTGTGCATTGCAGCGTACTCTCTCTTGGGCATCTGCCATCTCCATGATAATATGCCTGGGCTAGTCCTGCTGGACCCTGAGAGACATGTGGAGCAGAGTGGAGCCAAGGCTAGCCTAGATCAGGCACCAGCCAGTCGTGAGTGAGTCCAGCTGAGATCAGCAGAGCCCCCTAGCCAACCATCCGGATG